GTAATGATATGAGAAACACCATGATCAGCAATTGGATTCAACATTCACAATAACCACTATACACAGCTTTTCCTGCTGGCCTGACCTCAGGTGTAATTCCCAAAAATGACCGCGAGATGGCAGCAGAGATGACTGCATGGAACATTTTTTATATTGACCATACTGTAATGAAGTTTCAAAAAATATTCAAAGGATTGAAGTTACATGAAGTTGCTGGCTCTCGTTGTAGATAATCTGGATATCAGTTGTAAAGATCACCAGAAAATTCTCACATTTGGAAGTTATGAAATTCACCTCTAAGTAATCCTCCAAATGAATCACAATCGGAGTTAAAACATCATTTTGTTGAGATCTGGGAAATTGAGAACATAGCCTGACCACAGCAAAACAGGCTGATTGTAATCTGTTTAGTTTTGAATTTTGAAACCCCACCCTGTTCCCCGAGTGCGGTCTCTGTCAGCAAATAGCTAACTGCCACGTCTGCTTCTGTTCAACGCTTGCTTGCTTGCCCCTATATAAGCACTTAGCTGTAAGCGCTTGGCGCAACTCTATCTGCAGTTCTCTGGGCACCGTGTCTCAGGACACTCTGAGAGTTCGCCCCTGCGCAGGTTAAGCTTGGCCAATAAAATAAGATCAAAACCCTGGAAGGTCTTCAAAAATTATTCTCGAGTCTGGTGGATATGTTACGGGAAATGAAGCGACCAGACACCGAGGGATTCTGGAGTACGAGGTTTACTCCTTTTATGTGCACGGGCCCAGAGGAGTCAGTCTCCAAATTCTGAGCCCCGAACAAAAGATTCTTGGGGAATATATAGATTAGGGATCTTCCTATCTACGTGGCAAAGCAGGATACAGAAGCAGAATGTGGTAATTAGTTCTATCTACAGGGCAGAAGCAGAGTTCAAAGGCTAAATGTGAAAATTGGTTCTATCTGCGGGGGTGCTAGCCCTAGTCCTAGTGACTATCTGGCTATCTGCTTTATCTGCTCTTCCTAGATGGCCTTACTGTTCTCCTATGGCGCCTGGGGTCTTGGGTGAGCAAAGGTCTCCTGGGACCTCTCCCTTCATTTCCAGTCCTCACTATCCGGCCACCCGCCCTCCCAGACGGCCCCATCATTCTCTCTAGGGCGCCTGGGGTCTGGGCAAATAAAGGTTAAACAGAGGTTTTTCAAAGTTTCCCATATCAGATATAACAATTTCAACTGAATAATACTAAAATACTTTAAAAACCTATCAATAATATAGAAATAAATCTGCACATTACGAGGAAACAGTTGAAAACTAACATGTTTTGCTCCCATACTACAAACCCAGAAAAATAAATCCTGGAAAGTAGAAGAATGGAAATAGGCAAGGAGAGATGTCTGGGGAGGGACATACTTAAAACAATAAATTTTGAATTCTTTTTTATTTTTCTGTATAATTCAAGAAAGCTGCCACAAAAAAAAAGTTTCTCAGTTTGGGTAATGAAACAGTACAAGAGGAAAACTTGACATAATTTAAGAATAAATAGGCTGCTGTGGTAACAACACCACAGGCCTTTTCTCGGCTCTCCCAGCCCAATCTCCTCGCTCACAGGGGTCCCTTTTCCAAAGTGCACTTCTTTGTGTGCAAATGCAACTCGGCAGAGAGGAAATGACAAGACCAGACCTGAATGAGCAGAGCACTGCTGGGCAGCTCAGCCTGAGGGGGAACTGGCCCTGGGGCTGCCTCATTTGGGGAGGGGCCCTCACAGCCAAGACTCTTCACAACTAAGCAGCAGCACCACTGGGCTGACCCACACAGGTGCTGTTTCATGAGTCACCTGGACCAACACTGAGCTTCCTAACAGCCATGCTGCACTCACACCCATTAGTACCAAAACGGAGCTATTTGCACTAAATAGAGTTTCCTTCTCCCCCACACCCCAACTCTGCAACTCCTGCTGGCTTTGACTTGGAGCCAATGACCATCAGTTCACAGACACCAGATGCCACAGACAGACTCAGAACCAGACACAGGCCCTAGACTCCAGAACCTGGGCCCCAGAGCAGACCCAGAAACAAAAGCTGAACCCCACACCCAGGCCCCAATCCCAAAACTGTCCCCACAACCCAGGCCAGACCATCGACCCTGAATGCCAGACCCCAGACACCAGGGACTGATGGCAAATGCTGGACGCCAGATTCCACACATCAGACCTAAGACCCAGAGCTGCACATGGACCCCACACACCCACCCAGTGACATGAAGCTGCACCCAAAGAAACTCCAGATCCCAAACACATAGACACAGATTCAACCCCAGACCACAGACCCAGGAGACAGAACCCAGATCTGAAGCTGGACAATGGGCCCCACTTGGCAGATACAGGAGCAGAACTGAGTCCTCACAATGTAAACAGAGCCAGGAGCCAATAAATCACCGATTCTTGACTCTCCAAGTCCAAGAAGCTGGCCTCAGAAATAGTTTTTCATGCCAATGCAAATGTACAAGGAAAGATATTAACTCCTGGCACTACTAATTATACCAAGCCCTGCTGAAATACACCAAAAAGGCTGACAGAGCAAAAAATAATAATAATGCTTACTCTTGCCAGGAAAAGTCCATGCTCTCTCAGAGGCTGCACTTTCCAGAAGTTAGTGTCCCGACCATGAATGTCACATGGCCAGCTCACGAAACCCATCACATGAGTAAAAAATTATTTTTCTCACATCTTCTAAGTTCTAACAGCTGGAATAACAATCAAATTCACATAATCCAATTAATGAGAGGATTAATTCAACATCTACTACATGGGCAAGGGGAATTCATATTAAAATGAATCCCAAACATAATGAGGTAATATTAAGTATATGAGGTATTTTGGAAAATGGAAGAACAGAGTCTGAGATTCCAAAGGTCAAGTGGGGCACATTCAGGTAATCTAGAAAAAAAGGCCGAGTACCTGCTGTAATGGTCATTAGTAGTGGAAACATACAGACAGCCGTTAGGCATCTGCAGTTCCTGAGACTGGGTAATAAATAAACATCCGGGAACAGTTGGGTTCAAAATTCTAGCCAAATAAGGTAACTAACCAGGGCCCGCCAGAAGAGGCCGGTCAGCAGCAACACCCACCAATTAGGGACCTTCGCCGTTTTCAACTTAGCAACCTAGCAAATAGCTAACCGCCACATCTGCTTCTGTAAGCCCTCGCTTGCTTGCTATGCCCCCCGTAGTCTGTGAGCCACGTGCGACTTCCATCTGTTAGCTCTGGGTAGCTACGTGGCTTCGGTCACTATCTGGGAAGCTCGCCCCTGCACAGGTAAAGCTTGGCCACTAAATTTATATTTGGACTATTATTTTGTGATCAATAAAACTAAAATTCTTTGAAACCAATTTTCGTCTCCGAGAGCGTGTATCGACCCATCTGTTGCCTACAACACCTACCAGGTTGATTTCTGTTGGGCAACTCCCACAACTTTCAGACACAAGGGGTACAGTAAGAGCGTCAACAAGCTCTTACGAGGACAGGAGTCTCACTGTCTGAAGCTGAGGTGATTGGGCTGAAGCTCTCTTCCTAAACCAAACTGTGGCAACTAAACCTCTTAGGAAGAACTGAGATGAAAATCCTAAGGAATTTCTCAGTCTTGCCTTTCTGAACAGCCAGTGTTACATCAACATGCCAAGTGCAAAATGCTGGCCCTCTCATGACCGCCCTTGATACTTTACATACAAGTTGTATATCCACCACCTACATTAGTACATTGTTCCACATTTCACTGGCATAATCATTCAGTTTTGAGAGTCAGACTTGACTTAAATTGTTAAGTCTTACTTAAGTAAATGGTGACATGCATGTACTTCCCAAATTCACCCCATATTAAATACCTGACTGCTTGCTTATGTGGTGGGGAAATAACCTTTTATGGAAACTCAAGAATCTTTCTGCTGCTCTAATAATCAAACAGGTACAACACAGATTAGCAAGTAATAATAGCCAACTGTCAGACATACACAGCCAGGACAACCTCACTCAGAGGACAGAGTCAGAAATCCCACACAGACAAGAGCATAAATGAGGCGGTGATGATGTGAGGTGCCGTGGTCATTTTCTATGATAAAGGTATCTATCCTTAGATCTGTGGGAAAATATTTGACATGTAATAAAAGGGGTTGGAACAACTGAATGAGAAAAATGTTGGGCCCCCTACATTACATCCTCCACCAAAATCAATTCTTTAATTGATTTCAATAGCCACTCATAACTAACATAAAACACTGAGAGCCATCTAAAACATACCAAGAGATCTAAAAAGAAAGAATTGGAAAAATATACTATAGAAACATGAACCAAATGAAAAAAATATAACATACAGTAGACGTGAAGGCAAAAAAATGAACCACTACCACAAATAAAGACGAGTACTTCTTATCAGTAGGTTCCATGTACCAGTTACTTCCAAATTTTTATTCACTTACTAACATAAGCTCAAAAATATATGCATGGAAAAATATACAAATTAACACTCGTAATAAGAGAATTATCTAACCTCTATCATTCAGGTTGTTTCAGAATCAATAAAACCCACAAAAAATAGTACAATTATTTTTAAAATAGCATGAGAAAAAATGGCATTCAGTGTGCATAAGTACTCACTACAACCCAAAAACTGCAAATTACAGATGCTTTCCAAGCTCCCTGGGAATTTTTTTAAAAAACTGACCATATTTTGATATAAAGCAAGTTCCAGCAAACTTTAAAAGACTGAAATTTATATATATTTATATATTTATATATATTTACATATTTATATGTTTATATGTATATATATGCAATGTATATGCACATACAAGTGTGTATAAACATGTATATGTTTATTGCTCTCACTGCCATTAATCAAGAAATCAATAACAACACATAACTAGAAAATACTTTTATTTACAAATTATGAAATACACTTCTAAATAACCACCCGAAAATAAATCACAATTGGAGTTAGAAAATTATTTGCATGGAATGATAGTAAAAACACTTCTTACCAAGGACAGATCACTCAGGTTCCAAACATGATCACAGCTTCCAGCTCAGTGGTTTTCCACCTCAGGTGGAATTTCCCCCAAGGGGACATTTGGCACATTGTATGGAGACCTTTCAGATTGTCCTTGGGGTGGGGTTAAGGTGGGAGTTACTGGCATGCACTGAACAGAGGGAAGGATTACTAGTAAGCACCTACGATGTGGAGAAAAATCCCCCAGGAGAAAATATGATCCATAGCAATGAGAAACCCTACTCTCTATGGAGCAGGATGGAGAGTCCATTAGAATACAAACAGCATGTGACTTTGCACCCTAGATCTGAAATCACACCTCTCTCTGGACAGGCAACCTGGAGGCTGAGAGCTAAAGAACAACAACAGAAAATAAATTAAAATGTCAGCCATCTTGCAAAGACTGGGGAGGAATGTGTTTGGCTAAGAAGACACCCAGGAAATCTCAGAAGCCAAGGAAGATCTGACACTTTAAGAAACTGAACCACAGTGTGATAAGCCACAGCACTGAGGGCCACTGTCCCTTTTCACTGCCCACAAATCATTCTGCAACTGTTTCTTAAAATTACTTATAATCTACAATCTTACTCTTTTACATTCCAGAACTCACCATCAAATGTTCTTCTTTTCAAAAATGTGGACATTGCCATATTGTGAGTTCCTCAGATAACCTACAAGGGGCACAATTTTATTTATAAAGTAAATCAGAAGTTACAAAGTACTTCTGATTTCTGAACACCACTGCTCCAGGTACTAAACTCATTTACAATGCTAAGAATCATATTACTATTTTATCTAACTATTAATGAACTTATAACTAACACATTTTTAACTCTTCATATCCTCATGTCTTATTCCAAACTCTATTTTTCATGCTTTATAAAGCTAAATTAATGTAACTTTATTATTGCATGATATCTTATTTACCTTGACAACTCATTAATATCAACCTAAAGGTACCATAAGTAATACAGCTTAGTAAATTGTGTGGTAAATAACATGCAGAAGTACCTTTTATATATACAAAGAATAATTTAAAGATATAATCAAAGAACCCAGGGTGAACCCCCAAATCCGATGTCTGGTCCAGATGATGTACTCATAAAAAGTGGTTCCAGGGAACTGGTCACTGACATTGGGACCTGAGATATGTACCTCGAGACAGTCTTTTAAAAAAAAATCAAAAGTCACTGATATTCCACTATAACCAACCACTTTTCCTGCTGACCTGTACTAAGATGTTATTCCCCAAACTCCCGACGAGATGGCAGCAGAGATGCACAATTGGGATGTAGCATCCACCAATGCGAGCAACAAATGGTCGGAAACTTTCAGGAGTTCAAGATGGAACTTTATTGGCCAAAGCTTTACCTGCGCAGGGGCGAACTCTCGAGGTGTCCGGAGACACGGTGCCCAGAGGGCTGCAAATGAGAGTCGCGCCTGGCGCTTACAGCCTGGGGTTTTTATTGGGGTGAGCAAGCAAGCAAATACAGAAGCAGACGTAGCCGTTAGCGATTGGCTATCTCGAGGGAACACACATGGCTATGCTTTCTGCTTGCAGCAGTGGATAATTTTCTGCAAAGACAAGGTCATGCACAGGCAGTTATCTTGTTTGTTCAGCACTCTTTGTACTTTCTATCTGGACTCTGCCTTGAGTTCCTTGTTCCTCTTGGCTACTTTTATCTAATTCCGGGCCTAACAGGGACAGGTATTAGTGGCGGTGGCCAAACAGTTCCTTTGATCATTTGATACATTTATGTATCAAATGATAGTGTTGGTTTTTTGACCTCTTGAGTTAAAATTCATTTTAAATAGATTTTACTTTCTTCATTGTTTAAGTGTTGCAGGCAAATGAAGCAACCAGACACCGAGGGTTTCTGAAATACAAAGTTTATTAACGTGTACGGGCCCAGAGGAGTCAATCTCCAAATTCTGAGCCCCAAACAAAGGGAAAGCAGCTTTTTTATAGAGCGGGGGAGGGGGGGGATAGAGCGAGGGGGAGGCCTGTTCTTCAGACTAAAGTGGGAGATAATTTACAGAAGTAGAAAGCAGAGCGCTTCACAATCTCTGGTATGTAGGCAATAAGCTAGAAGAAACAAGGTAAATCACTGGGCTGATAAACATCTGGGCTGTAAAAAACAGTCCCCTAATTGCTGTGCTATATTTTAAAATAGCTATCAATTTCCCTCAACATAAGGAATCTGCAACAAATAAAACACATTACAAATGTGCTTTTTACACTCAGATCTTCTACAATTTCCAAGCACACTTGGAACTTCTAAAAACCTGACTCTATTACACTATACAGCTAGTTCCAACAAATGCACATAACACACATTTATTGCTTCCTTTGCCCTAATCTGGAAACCAGGTAACTGGGCAGTCCTTATATTTAGACATTTTTAAATACACTTCTAAATACCATGGCCATCAACAGTCATTGACATTCCACCAGAACCGACCACTTTTCTTGTTGACCAGCACTAAAGCGTTATTTCCAAAATGACCACGAGATGGCAGAAGACAACCAAACTTGGAACTGGTTTTTTGTTTTGTTTTGTTTTCATTGACCACATTGTACTATGGAGCAAGTTTTTTTTTTTAAATCAGATTCTTTGAGGTTCTGGCCAAGACTGAGACATAGCTAGAAAAATCTTCCCTTCCTCGCACAACCAAAAGGAGGATAACAACCAATCTAAAATCAATAAACAACCAGAACTGCCCAAAAAGCAAACTGCATGGCACTCTGACAACCAAAGAACTAAGGAAACAGTCAACCAGACCAGTGTGCCGGAACAAAAGAATATGGCCCAAATGAAAGAACAGAGCAAAACTCCAGAAAAGGAGCTAAGTGATCAGATAGCCAACTCATCTGTGAGAAAGTTCAAAGCCAGGGTAATCAAAGTGCTCACAGAACTGACAGAGTTTGGTCACAAAATGAAAGAACAAATGAAGACTACCCAAAGTGAAATAAAGCAAAATATTCAGGGAACCAACAGTGAGATGAAGGAAATCAGGACTCGAATCGACTATTTGGAACAAATATTTGGAACTTCCAAAATGAACCACCATGTGAGTTACAAAATAATTTGAACTGAGAGATGCTAAACCTACTACACACTGAAACTTAAAAACAAAATCTGCCCCTTAGAACACACAGACTAGTCACAAAACTTCCAAATTGTACAAGACTTGCACCCATTTTAGGAACTGAAAACAGTAAATGAAGCCAAGACACACTGGAGGGAATATGAGCATAGACATGTCCAGAAGGGCACACACATGAAATGACAGTGATGTTATTTTATTTTATTCTGTTCTATTTTATTGTATTGTATTCTATTTCTGGATGGAGGATTTTGAATAAATTGTATTTTCCCCTTATTTAAGGAAGCTGCAACACACAAAGCAAATTAACCTGCACACCACTCACAAGGTAACTGGACCGTGCTGACATTTAGACGCTTTGGAATGCACTTGGAAACACCACTACCGTCAAAAGTCATTGATATTCCACTACAATTAACCATCTTTCCTGCTGAACTGCACTAAGGTGTCATTCCCAAAAATAGCCACGAGCTGGCAGCAGAGACTGACACTTGGAACTTAGGTCCCACAAATGGCTCAGCTGAGAGGTTCCTTCACTTTTTACTGTGAGATGCGATGACAGGCACACTTTTCATTTTCCCTCAAACACGGTGACTGCACAAGGTCCTCACTGTTCTGTTCCACTGCCTTCTGCCACCTTTCAGGTAATTTCACCATTCCATAGTCCCATGACTTTGTTATCTTTTGGAGCACAGAGCTCTTCCAGGTGGCTTCTGCAGTCTTCCAGGGAATGGAAATTTCTCTCCAATAAGAGAAATTCAGACAGACCGAAGTAATTGGCCACATGAAGGTGCAAGGTCTGGTGAGCACTGTGCATGAATCAGGACTGTGCAGCCAGGCCGCAATTTTTTTTCACAGGTCACCAAAGAGAAACATGCATTCTCACCTTATCATGAAGCTTACGTGTCTTCTGCTAACTCTTTCCCTCAGGCGGTGCTTTCAGTTGGTCTGACCTGGAGCAGTGCTTGTTGCAAGGCACCTGCCGGCTTTCTACAAGGAACTCCTTCTGCAGGACCCCCTCCAGAAACCACCACAAGGGCAACATCACCTCTCTCGGATGAAGACCACCCTTCGGAGGGGCCTGGTGTTGCTTCCTTTGCTGACCCTCAATCTCTCCCACTCCACGTTATTCTAACACATCAACCATTCATCACCCCTCACAATTTATTCTGGAAACAAAATGTTTTCCTTACATTTCGGTAGAGAACCACATGTGGATATGTGTTCGAGATGGGTCCCCTCCTTGTACCCGCCTAATTTCTGTGGAACCCAGACATCAGGGTGACTAATCTAACTGTGCTGGTGCAAATGATTTTCAGTGCTTGATTAGGATACTTTGATTATGTTGCCTTTCTCTAGCAAGGCACACCATGGTCTGTCTTCAGTAAACTGTTCTGTCAGACCCATGGGGCAACTGCACACCAGAAATCTCCACAATTAAACTTGAAAATACACTTGTGACACATTCCATCACTCACAGCGATGTCTCCAAACACATCAAAAAAAAATCTTTCTTTACCTTACACTTGTACTTGGACCTTTCTTGAAATGACAAAGTCTAAGGGGCTGAAAATGTTGCTTATGTTCTTCCATCTTCAGTGTGAAAATGGCCACACACACATTCTCCAGTTGTGAGGACATTTCTTTAATGCAAGCTGGTATGACAGCTGTCAGGATGCATTCTAACAAAATGGTTCTGAATGACATAAAGGCAAGCATGTGAGACCAGAGCCAGGTGATGGGGTGGGGTGTGGCAGTGGGAGAGGGTGGGGGGCTGAACTGACATTTTTACCAGCACCATTTACAGAAAGGTTCTTTATCCCCATAGCACTTGAGCAGCATTCACTGAGAATAGATGACTAGAAAGTTCTGTTGTTTGGGACTTCCGAAATAAACTTCTACAGAAACTCTGAAATAAACTGCCATTGGAATTACAATGTAACTGGACCTGAGTGATGGTAAAGATGCTCCGTAACAAAACTTGAGAAAGAAATCTTCACCCTTGAATGCACAGCTTAGAAACAGAAGCTGGAAATGCACATGTTTTGCACCCATACCAGGAACCTAAAATAGTAGACAAAGTCCAGGGAAAGGGAAGAAATGAACCTGTAGACAATCCCAAAGGGCAGGTACAGACAATGATGACGCTGGTATTTTACTTTGATTTTTTGTATCTCTTGTAGCACCATTATATATAAATTTTACCTACACATTGTTCTAGGAAGATGCAACAGACAAAGCAAATTACAA